GTAGAAGTGAATCATTTACTGCTTGCAAACCAATGATGGTAAGATGATGTCATGGGGTAGGACTGGATAAGTCTGACTTCTTCCTACTCCATTCAAGCATGTACTAGGTATAAGCAAATTGATATTGGATTATGTGTACAATCATGTGTGTTGTCATATCAACTGTCTTTACATGCTTGAAAGAATAAATCAAATCAAATGTGACTTCAATAAATTAGTATTCACATTGTTCTACAAGTAAGTGAAAGTGCAACCTGCAGTGTCTTCTCATCTTCTCACCTCCTTCTTTTTGTTTCCTTTTCTGTGTTAGATGAGGAGGACGAAGGAGAGCTTTGAGCTTGGCCTGTCTTCCTGTTAAAAAGAAAACATGGTAACAAGGGTAATTAAATAACTAGTGTGTAATTAATGATTCATAGGTCACCTGTATTATTTGAGAAAACAAAAAAATGTACAAGCTATTCTGTAGCTCAAGCTCGTTCCCTAGCTCCTACTTACTTCTTTTCTTGCTCCACCTCAGAGTCAGAACCGTCCGAAGAGGAGGATGAAGAGGAGGCAGAAGAAGAAGATGAAGAGGAGGAAGAGGAGCTGGAGCTGCTGCTCCTGTTGGCTTTCTTATTTGCATTTACATCCTTCCCATTTACAGTGCTCTCATTTCTGACTGTTTGGTCAGGCAGCTGAGGGGCTGCTGGTGGTGTCTGCTTTCTGCTCGGGCCTCGTTTGGTGTCTGGTTGGCTGCCAGCTGGAGCCCTTCTGGAGCTCACATCAGCACGACTGGGGTCTGACTGAGAGCCTGTTCTACCTAAAGGTGGAGCATGGGATGAGTCTCTCAAAGCACCCTGTGAAGAAGAGGAATGACTTTTCTGATCTCTGTCCCCTCGGTCTGTTCTCCTGTCTTTCTCTGGTAGTGCTTTTGTGTCGTTCCTCTCTGACAGCGGTGAAGGTGAGGATGAAGAGGAAGAGGAGGAACTGGAGGACGATGACGAGGAGGAGGACCTGCTGGGTTGGGGAACATCTTTTGGGTGCAGATGCACCTTTTCCCTTTGTCTCTCATGTTCTACCTCCCTGTGCCGGGGCCTCTCATGTTCCCTTTCTCTCTTTCTGTCTCGGGAGAGGGAGCGACTGCTCCTTCTTCGCCGCTGTGGAGAGGGAGAGCGATGGAACCTGGAAGAAGCCAATATTAAAGATGGTTGATTTCCAAGTCAGGAATTAAAATTTGCAACTTGATGAAAACAGTGTAAATGATACTGATGTCACATCAAAGAATTAATCCATATTGTTTGTCTCTGTCCATCCAAGTACATAGTAATATGCATCACTAAACAGTTGTATAGGTCAAATTTTATTTAAATGGCTCAATATCACAAATTGCCTTAAAAGGCAGTTTTCTAACCTTAAGGTATCTCTGTGGTTTTCTTAAGCCGAGCAGACACTGCACAGATTCAGCCTGATTTTAGCCCCGATTCAATCACCCGACTATTTTTAGAGCCAAACTGAATTTAGGTTTGATGTACAACGTGAGCAGGTCCAGGGTCTGTAGTTCGTTTAGTGCAAGTACAAATACAACAACATAGCATGACACAGATGTGAACAGAATCAAGTGAAACGAAGCCACAGACTGTGTATATAATATGTTTATACACCATCTGTGTACAAGGTTAATTGAGCTTTGGAAATGTATTGTACAGTGTATTATCATCAGAGTGGGATCATGACCGCCAGTAACAGGAGAAAAACCGGCAGGCGATTACCGCCGTTCTTCAGCTGTACAAAATTCATGCTTAGGGTTGCAGTGGTATACCGGTTTCACAGTACAACATGGTAAGAAAATTAAAGGTTATCATACCATGTACATTTGCTTATTACCAGAATTGAAGGGAGAAAACGCAATGTGTGTAGGGCTGCTGCGATTATTCGGCGCCATAGATGACATTGACAATAAAAATGCATCATCGATATTTTTCATTAACACAATCGTCTTACTAGTGGCTTTGTTTTGTAGATGTGTTGTGTTTGATTTATAACAAAGTCACTTCCTTAAAACAAATGTTTCTTTCCATATCGCTACGTATCTACTGTGTGCTTGCATCAGTCATTTTTGGCTTCAGCTATTAAGTCAGCTCTAGGTAACGGCGCAATGTTGCAGGTTCAGAAAATCGTGGCGGCTGCAGTACAGTCGAAGAGTCCAATACACTTTTGCATAATGAGGTTCACTGTATACGTTTTCAAAGCTCTAAGGGATTGAAAGTATGGGAGTACTTCAAATTATCAGAAAAACAGGTGGTTTGTACAATGTGCAGTTTTGTTGGAGGCACCAGCACTAAGTGCCAGCACCAGAAGAGAAAAAACAAGTGCTGTTCTGGATGGTGAACCCCCAGAAAAGGCTAAACCAGTGTTGGGTATTCATGTGCATCAACTCCTTCAGAGTGTCTCTTCTCCACAGCTGGAAACAATTTCCAAGAAAAGAGCGAGCCTACGACCAGACCATGTGGACAAGCCAACATTCTTACATTACAGCACACATATAACACACCTTTGATTCAAATATATGAGTTGACCTTTCAGCTAACTAAAGACCAATGTCTCTTACACTCTAAACATGTTGTTTAGAGTTTGGTTGTTTTACTATGCAGGCCTGCAACTTTTTTTTTTCTTTAATGAGTTTAACAAACTTAAAATTTAGGGATTTGACCTACTTAAATTAAATCATTTTGGAGCTGCCAGTTGAAATCTGCAGTTTTGCACTTTTAACATGTAAACCTATGATTTGTTGTCAAAATAAAATGAATTAAATGAAAATGTCAAATTTAATTCTTAGAGAAAAATTTATCATTTAGATTCACCAACTAATCAGTAAAATTGTCAGAGTAATCATCAGAAAAAGTCATTAGTGGCAGGGTTACAAGATGTAAAGACAGCAAAGACCCAGCATACAGTATGTACATGCATGGTCTTGTCTTACCTGCTGAGGGGACTTCGTCTCCTTGGGTTTCTTGACCTGGACCTGCTGCGCCTTCTTGGGCTTCTAGACCTGGATCTGCTCCTTTTGGCATCCCGCTCACGTGTTCTGTCCTTCTCCCTATCCCTCTCTCTCTCCTTCTCTCTGTCTCTCTCTCTCTCCTTCTCTCTGTCTCGCTGCCTCTCTCTCTCCCGGTCTGACCAGGCTGGAGGAGGAGAAGCTCTTCTGGATCGGGGTTCCTGATACTGCCTTGGTGGAGTACGACAAACAGGGGAGGTTTTCTGGGGAGGAGAGCGTGACCTCCTGACTGAGGGGTTAGACCCTGCAGGCCTCCTGGCTCCATCTCCCCCTCTGCCTCTCACCCTTTCCCCAACTTTTGCCTCTACCCTTGTTTTCTCTGCTTCGGGCTCAGGGGAAGAGTACATGTTGCTGCCTCTACTGGCTTGCACTCTATTGGGTGGGGAAGTAGGTGGGCTGGGGCTGTCCATCTGTGTGGGGGTGTATCGCTCCTGACCTTTTGTCTGGGGCATGCAATTCTCTGCAGGAGCTCTTTGAGAAAGTTTTTCTCTCTCATGTTTCTCACCTCCACTTTCTCTATCCTTCTGGGATGTCCTGCATCCATCCCCCTGAGAAGTGGAGGCAGAGCTTTCCTTTCTACCATTGCCTAAATACCTTTGAACTGCAGCCCCAATGGCAGAAGGTGCACTTTTTGTGGGGCTACTTTTTTCCCTCCCTGCTGACCCAGCCTTCCTCACTGTGCCTTTATCTTTAGAGGATGAGGACACAGAGGAGGATGAAGAGGAGGAGGAGGAAGAGGAGGAGGAGCTATCACTGTCACTATCGCTGCTGCTACTGCTGCTGCTGCTGCTGGTCCACCCACTCCGACCAGTACTACTGCTTCTCCTGCTGCTGCTGCTGCTGCTCTCTTTTCTTTTCTCAGCCCGTTTTGCCTTTTCACCAGTTTTCTCCTTACTTGGTGAACTTCTCGTCTTCTGCTGCTTGTCATTCACATCTGGTCTTTCATGCCTGCCTTTCTCCGCAGATCTCAAGCCATCTTGACTACTTTCTACAGATGATCGGACAACCTCATCTTCCTTTCTGCCACGCTCTTGACTTCGCTCTCTGCTTTGTTCACTCTGCTTGTTCGGATGTCTGGCTTTCTCCTTAGCACTCTCCCTGTTTTTTTCTCTAATGTTCTCGTCATCCCTTTCTCTTTGACGCCCACTGGTGATAGGGGAGCGAGATGCAGGGGACAGGGATTTTTCTCTTCTCCTGTCATTTTTATGTTGGCGAGGGGACATCTCCTGTCTCTTCCCAGTGTCTTTCCTATTGTCCCTTTCATTTGGTATTCTTGAGTGTAGACCTCTCTCTGTCCTGTGCCCCGTCCCCTCACTCCTCTCCTTTTCATGGACAGGTGAGGGGGAGGAGGAGTCATGTCTTGTCTTTTTGTCCTGTTTATTCCTGTCTTTTTCCCATTCAGCATCTCTGCTCCTTTCCCTCCTAGTCTCCTGTTTAGGTGGAGGAGAAGGAGATGAGGAGGAGTCATGTCTCATCCTTTGAAGAATGCTCTCCCTTCCTTTGTCCCTCTTTTCTCTACTTCTTGAGCGCCTCCCCTTCTCCACGTCCCTGCTCCTGGAGCGCCTCCCCTTCTCCACGTCCCTGCTCCTGGAGCGCCTCCCCTTCTCCAAGTCTCTGCTCCTGGAGCGCCTTCTTTTCTCCATCTGTCTACTCCTGGAGCGTCTTCCTCTATCTCCCTCCTTTTCTTTACTTCTTGAATGCCTCCCTTTCTCACTTTCCTTCTGTCTGCTTCTGGATCTCCTTCCTTTCTCCCTGCCCCTGCTTTTTTCTGTTTGTGATGGTGGAGAAGGGGACGAAGAGTCATGTCTCTTCTTGGTGAAGGTCTTCTGTGTCTCACTCAGTCGGCCTTTTTCTCTCTCAATATTGAGCCTCTTCTAGATGACAGACAAAAACATTTGCTGCTGTCATTTTACACATACATATGTTCACAATAGAATACAAGTACAATAATTACAATAGAATACAAGTACAATAATTACAAATGTGTTCAAATTTACTTAGGGATACTATGAGCACTGCAACCAGCCTTACCCCTTCACCCCCCTGATGATATGGGCTATGTTCCTCATAGCCCCGTCTCCTCCTGTCTGGTGATCTCCCCATTCTTCCCTCATTGGTGGCATTTCTAGCAGTTTGGTCCCGTTGATGTGACTTCACTGGAGCTGGAGACTGGCTGTTAATTTCACAGAGGAAAAAAGTCAGAGATTTTCTTGTCCAGAAATTTGACTGGGTATAGCTCAAAGCAATTCTTTAAAGGCTTCAGTACAATTCAAATCAACTAGTTTGAACAAGGTTTAGTCCAAAAATGGTGAAATTAGAGATGCACTGACTGATTGGCTGTAGTTCGGAATTGGCCCGTTTTTAGATTGATCCCAAAGTGTACTGTGTGCAGGGCATATGAAGAGTTCTTTGTCAAACTTTACTAATAAAATTGTTCATTTCATCCAGAGCAGTTTCATGCAAGATTTATTTTTGGAGGATCATGTTATATTTGTGAAAGCTGCTACACTAACCCTCCAGCTTTATCTTGACCAGACATTTCGGACCAGGTATACATAAAGACACAGATCTAATGGTACCAACGCAGATTGGTTCATCGCTATGTTAGTACATAATTTCCACACTTTATGCCTCCACATCGGCAATAGCTGCATTATGGAGACATTAAGTTTTCAGGTTGTCCATCTGTATGACCCATTCTTGTAAACGCAACACATCAGGAAGACATTAAGGGAATTTCTTCAAATTTAGCACAAGTGCCCAATTGGACTTAAAGATGAAACAATTAGATTTTGGTGGTCAAAGGTCAAGGTCGGTGACCTTATGTCTCTCCCACTGCCTTGAATTTGACTGGTTGGCGGAGGCATAGAAACGCACAGCGGTCATTCAACTTTTTTTTTTTAATTCTCTTTTACCTGTGAGCAGAGCTGGAGGAAACACTCCTGTGTTGGGCCACCTTTGCTTTTGGAGGACTCACACTTTTGCTCTGTTGTCTTTTCTTCCTTGACACCTTCTGTTTTTCATCTGAAAAACTTGAATGGGTGAGAAGTTAGAGAACATTTTTACATGTGGCTGAACATCAATCCTTGCATTCAGTGACAATGACCTTATTATCTTTTTATTTATCCCATGGAAACATGCAACAAAAATAACTTCTTGGAGTTAGACACTGCCAAAACTTTAATATAATTTTGCATTTACAGGAACAAAGCAATGATCTACAGATTGCTGACAAGGCAAAAGATATATGATAATCTAATTTAAAAGTATGTACCTGTCTTCTTCCTCCTCTTCTGATGCCTCACTGAAAGAAATTTTTCTGTTAATCACTGCCAACATAAAATCACTAGGTGAAACATTAAAAAGAAACTAGTAGCAGTATACCGTTTCTTTTTCTTCTTTTTGGATTTCTTCTTCTCTCTTTGAGGAGATAGGGAGGGACTCTCTGAGCTGCTGAGAGAGAAACCAAAAACTGTCAGACCCACTTGTCTTAGTACATTTTCAGCTCTTATCAAGTTAGGTTTCTCACCTCTCCCTATTCTTGTTTCTCTTTTTCTTCTTCCGACTGCGCTTCTTGGGAGGAGAACCTGACTCGTCAGAATCTTCCACTAACCTAAGAGCAAGGACAACAGACCTTGAGTCAGGAACAATATTAATACTGGTTGGTGAGTGTACATTTGCCTATGTAGTGAGTGAACATACTAATAGTGCGGTCATGATACTGGAATTTCTACCTTTGATTTGATATCTTGAAAATTAATATTTGATACCACAGGGAAATATTGCCACCCAATTGAGGGCATAAAACTTTACACTTTATTTTTAAGTATAACATGGCTGTAATATGACAACAAGGTATGACTTTCTTTTCTTAGCTAGTAGCAGAGAACAGCAGAACAAATGTAGACCTGGGGAATAATCTCACAAGAGACAGTGGGACGACGACGACCCCCCCGCCCCCCCCTCCGCCCGATCATTGCATCTGATCTTTATCACCGCCATAGCAAATACGCTCTAGTTTGTCAGTATGGATTATCTGAGTTTCGTTTTCTCACTTGTCTTTTGCAAACAGGGTCTGTGGTCGACTCTAAACAGTGTTGTAAACAATCCATGTTATCAATGTGCTGTTGGTCAAAACGCAACACAGGTGCAAATTCTGTGCACCGGAGTGTGCATTGTGTGTGGTGCACCGTGAGTCAGTATCGGTTGTATTAGTACCTATTGTTACCACTTGTCTGTAGCATCGCTAAACAGCAGTGCCGTTTTGTCAATCAAAACTGGTAGCAGAGGTTCTGCACTTGGCATCTGTAACAGGCTAACACCATAACAAACCACACAATATATGACACAGAACTGTGAGTGAGTGAGAGGAGGCAGGGCTATGGGTACTGCAGCTGTGTGTCTAAACTTGTTGTTGGAGCAAAGAAAGAGCAGTGGGTATCAATGTAACCATACTACGGAAAAGGAGTAGTGAAACTTTTCCTAATTTTCAAAATTGATATGTTTTTAAAAAAAATGTTTTTGACAGCACTACATACTAAGTGGTATTATTTTAGCCCATTTGTTGTTACAAATGGGTGAATTTTTATTGCCCAACCCTTCCTGGTAGAAGAAGGAAAAAAAAAAAAAAAAAAAAAAAAAAAAAAAAAAACTTCTTATGCATAACAATCAGCATAAATAAGAATTACCGTATTTTCCGGACTATAAGTCGCACTTTTTTTCATGGTTTGGCTGGTCCTGCAACGTATACTCCGGAGCGACTTATGTATGTTTTTTTAAAATATTACCGTAGATTGAAATTTCACGTTCATTATTTTCACACTGACAGCCGCGAGAGGGCACTCTCGGCTTGTGTGCCAGTATCTACGCGCCTATCACTACTGTACCACTGAAAATGTAAACATCAGCCTATAATGACAACTGAGAAAGACTGACCACAAATGCCCCCAAAAAGAAAATCATATTCTGCAGATTACAAGCTGCAAGTAGTGAAATATGCAGCCGAAAACGGTAATCGAGCAGCAGAAAGAAAGTTTGGAGTGAACGAGAAACTTATGAGGGACTAGTGAAAAGCGGAGGATACTCTAACTGCAATGAAGAAAACAAAAAAAGCTAATCGCGGGCTAAAAGCTAGATGGCCACAGCTAGAGGAACAAGTTCGCAAATGGGTGCTTGAACAACGTGCTGCCAGGAGAGGCTTGTCAACGGTGCAGTTACGTCTCCATGCCAAGGTAGTTGCCAAGGCGATGAATATAAATGACTTTGCGGGAGGACCTTCTTGGTGTTACCGCTTCATGCAACGCAACCGCCTCTCTATCAGAGCACGGACAACTGTTAATATGTTACGTTAACATACCGCCTATTCACGTTACGTTACCAGACGCATATTCAGCCTGTTGTTCTCCATTTTATTGTTATTAAGATAACTTGCCTTTCAAGATGAAATGTATGTTCTTGGTCTCTGATTTTTCTGAAATAAATTTCCCCCAAAAAGTGCGACTTATAGTCCAGTGCGACTTATATGTTTTTTTCTTCTTCATTATGCATTTTTTGGCTGGTGTGACGTATACTCAGGAGCGACTTATAGTCCGGAAAATACGGTATATAAAATGTAGCCACACTGCTCAGCTCTGTTACTTGGTTTGACTGAAATGGTGCATATCCTACTCACATATATTTTTGTTGCTGCAGCTGCCTCTCCCTTTCCAGGTGTTCCTGCTCTCTCTTCTCCTTCTCTCTCTCCTTGCGGTCAGCATGGAAGGATGATCCATCCACATAGTCGCTGGCAATACCAAAGGCAGCACGAAGACGGTCATTCTTTTGCTGGTTGGCTGCAGCCAGGGCATGAGTCTCGGTCACCCTGAGAGAAAACAAACCAAAAAGCTTTTCGTTACAAACACTGTCCAATATAAACTCATTATATGCTCTGGGTATTCAATGAAGATAAAATATTGCAGCACAGTCACAGTAATCCAACACTGAACAGCAGGGCCACAAGACTCTGGGTAAAATATGAACCACAATATTTTTTTTCCATTTTGAACTGAATCACAATTTTCTCTCACAATTCCTAACCAAAGAAATGCTCTCTTATGAACATTACCATACACACAATTCGGGCTGCAACAACTGATCAATAAAAATCGATGATAATAAAAATAGTTGGCAATAAATGTTATTGTCGATTAGTTGGCAATAAATGTTATTGTCGATTAGTTCGGTCTAAGTCATGTAAATGTATGAGATGGCCAAGAGTAGATACGACTGGGTCAGTGACTGTGAGCACTACTGTTCCACACTCCAGTTTGGTAGCTGGCAGTAATGCACCTGCAGGCTGGTTTGCCAGCTGCTAATCAGGAGAAAGAGAACACCACCACCACCAGGTAACTAGGGATGCACAATACTAGCATCAGGTCTGATACCACCCTCTAGTACTAGTACTTGTAAATGTTGTTGGACACTATGCACCAGTACTACTTAAAGGAGCACCCACAGACAAGACAGAGTGTCTGTTAGCACACACACATAGCAGACAAGATGACGAGGTAGAATAGTTAGTATTTTACTGTGACAACAATGTTCGATGTGTGCAACAAAATCCAGCAGCGAGAGTAGTAAAACACCTGTTGAACAAGCTGAACACAACAACAAACTTGCAGAAATGAGAGGTCTTCACTCTCCCACTGTCAAAATGTCTAATCCCATTCAAGATGCTCGTTATGATGGATGCCTACATTAAATTGTTGAGAACATAAAAATACAAAACGCTCACAATCACCAAGTTAAAGTAAAAACATGCACCCACCTTAAATGAAACATTTAAACTGCCAACTGTAATATTATGCCCTCCCAAACTTGCCACTCTGGGCGGGGGTTGTGAAATAATTTCATTTTGACAGAGGGTTACACTCCTACAAAGGCTAAAAACCACTGTATTACAGAGTTCTATATTAATATGCCACAGAACTTCAATGTTACATTTTATATTCAACAGGAATGGTGGAAGTGCTACGTTTATCACAGTTTTCAAATTTGCACAACTGTTATAAACTGTGTGACGATAATGCATGTGAGCTCTGCGGTCCTTTGACAAGTGTTGAAAAGGTGTCTCTGACCACAGATGCATGGACAGCGCTTACAACTGAAGTGTGTGTGACAGTCACTTGCCATTATATTTCAATTTCAGATATATTTTTAATCTCTGTTTAATTCCTATAGCATAAATTAACAACAAAAGTCATCTCAGGACACTATAAAGCAAGGTCTAGACCAGGGTTTCTCAAAGTCTGGACTGAATGGCAAGTCAATCTAGACCCAGCCCACACCTCGTATTAGGAATGCAATAATACTACTGATGCACCAAAATGAAAATTCTGGGCCGAAACCGAAAATTTAGGATGCACTTGGTCGAAAACCGAAACGAAACCGAAAATGGCTTTTTAAAAACTGCAAAACTTTTTAAAAACTGTGTTTTTTTTTTGTTTTTTTTATTCCAGCCCGAAATAAAAATGGCCTTTTCGGCCGAAAATTTTCGGTGGCCGAAAGTTCGGTGCACCCCTAAATAATACACTACAATGTAATGAAGTGTACATTTCCTACTTTGAAACAAATGTTTTATACTTATCAGCAAGTTGTTTTGTAAAATATAATTTATTTGGTGATCATTACAGCAAACCTGGTCCAAGAATTGTTTTCCTGTTTGACATCACTGTTACAGCGTTGTTGACAACCCAGTGAGCATATGACGTTTAATGTCAACAAGTGACAAAGCTCAAGGGTCAGCTAACAGGCGACCGAGTTAGGTAATGGCTAATAGATGTTCACATTCTGTTCTTCGGGCATGAGAAAGTGAGACTTTGACGTCTTCTGTCAGTGTACATTATGTCACCAATGCAGTGAGGATGTCACTATCCAACAGAACAAACAAAAGAACAGTTGATAAAAAAATGTTTTCAAAGACAAGTGGACAGAGAAATATGCATTCATTTTGCCCCAATCCAACATGAGGCCCTTGTGTTTGATTTGCACAGAAATTGAGAATACAGAGGACAGCAAAATTTGACAGTTAAAATTTTCCTGTGAATCAACAAACAGGTTGTTTGTCTCCGACAGTCCAATATTTGCATTTATTCCACTAGGCTTGAAAGTAATTTGTCTCAGACTGCTTTAAACTTCAATGAAGACTAATTTATATGTTTATTATCAAGGTCATAGTTAAAGAAGGTGTTGTACTAGACTACATTATATATTTAGAGGTGTCTCGACATCTTTGTCCTCCCCAGCTACATACATGCGAGGGTCAGAATATTAGAAACACCTCATATAAATGAAATTATACATTTATGACAATTTCACCAAAAACTGAAACATTCTGAGCTTCATAAACACAGATGGTAAGGTGGAAGTGTTGCACTGAAGTGCATACATTTGTACAGGTGTACCTAATAAAGTGGCCAGTGAGTGTTTGTTGCGTGCAAGATAGAAGCAAGTTTAACATAAGTCATTTCCTTATCACTGATTGTTCTGGACCTTTGACCTTGAATAGAAATCAGAGTCAGACCTTACTATTATTAATATTATCATCACAGATGAGAAATCCGACAAATGCATATTTTATATAGGCAACTGGAAAATAAAGAGTGCTGTATTTGGGAGCACTTTTTGTTACAATCAGAAAGAAGACTGCCCAGTGCCAAATATGCAAAACGTAGGCTATAGGTCATAGTAAGGGGAGCATGATGCTAATGCATTAATACCTCAATAAAAGACACACTAAAGTTAACATTACAGAAGAAGGGGAACTTGGAGCCAAGTCAGGCATTAATTCTATTTAATAATAAGAAATTAGTAAACGAAAATTAAGATACACCTGATTTTAAGTAATGCGATTACGCTGCTGCCTATATAATGATGCTAATTTTATATTAAGGAACATAAAGGTGGGTTGTGTAGGCTGTGTTAAATGCATTTGCCTTTCATTTATATAAATATGAAAGATGTGAACATTCATTCATTCATTTTCTACCCCTTAGTCCCTGAACGGGGTCACGGGTGGGGCCCGAACCCAATCCCGGTCGACAATCGGGCGAAGGCGGGGTACACCCTGGACAGGTCGCCAATCCATCGCAGGGCTAACACATAGACGAACAACCACACACACGCACGCACTCCTATGGGCAATTTAGAGACACCAATCAACCTAAGCTGCATGTCTTTGGTCAGTGGGAGGAAGCCGGAGTACCCGGAGAGAACCCACGCAAGCACGGGGAGAACATGCAAACTCCACACAGAAAGGTCCCAGGTGGGGCCCGAACCCGGAACCTTCTCGCTGTGAGGCAACGGCGCTAACCACTGTGCCACCGTGCTGCCCCAAGATGTGAACAGCCAAACATTATTTTAATAAGCAAAACAAAGTTATATAGCTGACAGTGTTCCTCCTACTACTCAGATTTACTTTTAACCATCAGCAGTAGCAGTCATGTTTGTACTGGCCCCTTACATTAGCATGGTATGTTTTATGAACATATAGCCTAAATTATTTTACAACATAAAAATTTGTTTTTGCCAACACTGTAAGGACCTGTTATGTACTTTATGAACACTGTTCTTTAATAATTAATAATGCACTGCATTAAAAACACCACATAAGCATTGTTTAAATGAATGCATTTGTTTTTATAATGTAGAAAATAGATTTGTGTGTTTTTATACACCCAATTAAAAGTACAAATAATTGACAGATTATTAAAGTAATCATTAGTTGCAGCCCTATGGACAATTATCACACACAGCTCACCCACAGCCCTGTGACCCAGACACTGAATCCTTGTCCAATTACTGAGGGCGGCTGCTTTCACAACATTGGATCTACGGTCAATTTATTCATGTTAGCTTTTCCCTCTCCAAATGCAAACCAGAAAGATCTACCTTCAGTCCCTTTTTGTATTCTGAATTTCATCATGTTGTGTTTGTGGTGACATTTCAAGCGGTTATACAGGTTTGTCAAGTTACAACCGGGAGCTGCAAAACACTGCTTGCACATGTATGCCTCTGACCAACATCTTTTTTTACATGTTGGATTTGTTTTGAATCAGTCTTCTCTTGTACAGTGCATCACGTGATGTAACGCATACCTTCTATTGGTTAACACAGCTTAGCGACTAATAAGGACTTAGTTTGATGCAAGGGATCTCCCTGCCAATGCAAACGGCATTATGACGGCAGAATCATCGTCACATGAAAATGAGATTGCATGAATATCACCTTCGGCTTTTTCCCCTCAGGGGTCACCACAGCAAATCGTCACAAGTTGACATTAGGCACGTTTTTATGCCGGATGCCCCTTCCTGATGCAACCCTGATTCAAATGCGAGCCAGAAAATGAGATTGCATAAGGGACTGAATTAAGATTGAAAGACAATTAATAGTGCAGCTCTACTGAGCAGACAGTTGAATCGAGTATTGCTATCAGTCTCTATCATTTTGAGGTTTTCTCCACACAACCTAGTCATAAAACCCTATAATTTAAAAAACATTTTTATGAAGCATATAAATTCAAGTTTTACTTACACTGGTCTCTCAGTGGTTGCAGGAGTTGGCTCCTGCTTCTCCTGCAGCATCATGCGGAAACTGTTCACCTTCTCCTCAATCTCCTCAGCAGAATACCTGATCAAAATTTAAAAGTGTATAAAGGTTAATGAAACAAAAATGCTATTATACTTCTTGAAATGATCAATCAACTAATTGTTTCAGTTCAAGTTACTCTATTTTAAGTGATTGCAACCCAGTTAAAGTTAGTGAAAATCAGTGTATTACAGCAGCCTGATGCAAATGTCTTTTTTAAATTTCTTATTTACCCTTGCTCCTCCATCATGTCTTGCAGCTCAGCACACTTGACCTCCAGCTGCCTCTTCCGCTGGTGTTCCAAGATTTCAGCATTGGGCTGCCTATTGAGCTGACTCTCCAGCCTCTCTCGATCCTTTTCATCCCGCTCGCCACTACGCTCATCCCGCGGCCGTTTGACACGCAGGCTTGACAGGTTGCGTTGCACATAGCCATTTGTGCCACTGCCTCGAGGAGTCGTCAGGCCAATCCCATTGTACATGGCTCTGCAAAATTAAAACAGAGGTGCATTAAAAGTTAAACATTAAACAAAACTAAAAAATGGAAGGCAATGAAAAATTGACTATAAAAAAGAGCAAACGTTTGTTTCCTGAGAATAACAATCCCATTTCATCCTCTATTTTTCATCTTTAACTTTCTGTGTAGGGTGTTGAAGGGTGCAAGTCATCTTTTACATGAAGCATAGATGTTGACCATGTTAATGAAAATGTCTACATCATATTAAGACGGGCATCATTTTAGCACACATTTTTATGCACTGAGTATCTCAAAAATAAAGAAAAAAAAACAGAATAAAACTCAGTACCCTTGCCATTAAATGTAAATAATGTCTTAATTATTGCAAGCTTCAGTAAATTCCTCTGCAGTTTGCCCTTTTAAGCATTTTGAAAAGTTGAGGAAATTACTAATCCAAAATGGCTGACATAAACCAATTACTAGCAATTCAAGTTACCCAATTGTACTCCAAGCTTTGAACTTATGAAGGTGGGTGACAAAACAACAACAACAACAACAGTAACAATTCAGTTTCACGAAATCACTGAAACATCACCACGAACGACTATGGTTTTGTTCAGGCGACATTTTGTTGACACGGTTTTGTGTGGTGTGGCCTGGGTTTCTCGCAAAGTAGCGTACTTACGGTAAGATTTATGCAACACCGGGTGGATTTAGGCGTATTTGACTACATCTAAACATACCAACTTATTCATATCCTAATAATTCCAGATAAATGGCGAATTAACACGTGCGCCAGAACAGGCCTGCTGTTACATCTGTATGCAAGGTGGGGGCTCGTTATGCCTAGCGCTAACACGAACAATCAAAAACTGTCACATATAGCTAAAGGGTTAAAACTCGTTGGTTTAACAAACAGATACGTTAACAACTTGGCAGATTTAGTGCTTTAGCTATATCTGTGAAGGTCCAACAACCCTGACGCATAGCCAAAATTCCTATCTAGCATCACGCTAGCTAACGTTAGCTACCGTATTTTTTTACGTACCACTGTCTTCTCCAGGAACGAAGAGAAAACAATATCTGAAAGAATCTGGATTTAATAGCGTCCTTTAGAATCAGACACAGTAAACGATCTTAAGTTAACTGCGTATTTAGAACGGATTTAAAAAATGTGGTCGATTAGCTTTCAACTAACGCTATGTGATCTGGTCTTCAACAGGAGGATCGAGAGTCGTCGTCGTCGACTTCTTCTTCTTCTTCTTCGAGTTCTATTGGCTGTTGGCAAACAACGAATAGATGCATTACCGCCACCAACTGGTAAGAACTGTGCGTCAAGAAGCTAGTAGGAGGAATGACATAATACCCCATCTTCTTCTGCTCTTGGGTTTTCCGGCGGATGGCATGCTTAGTTATCGCCACTTCCTGTTTGTGGTCCATTCTAACCCTCTTAGTTTACATCTTTATAATCTGCTCATCAGTTCAGTTGTTCTCAAATAGTCAAACAAAACCTTCTTTGCATAGTACTTCCATATTCTAAAATACTTTTCAAATTACAATCTGATAGTCCTAGCTTTTGTAATTGAGTAATTGTTTCTAAAGTTTCCTCTGCATGAAATGATAATATACTGTATCAATTTTGCTTCCTGACATTGCACACAGAAACATGTCCAGTGTTTCCCTATAATGACTAATGTGCTCTTGAGGCTAGCCTACTATGCCCAGTCCTCAACCTACTAATTATTACCTGTTGTTTTCTCAAATTGACTCTGCTCCTGGTTGCCCTCACTTTATTCTGTAATGAATTCAGGTGTCTTCCCTTTGACTCATGATCCCATCTTTCATGCCATTCTTGTATATATTTCACACCAAACCATTCTCTTCTGACTTTGAGAATTTAATGCGGCTTTCAACACGTGCTACTGACAACTTGATTGGCTAGTTCACGGCTAGTTTAACTACCTTCTCGTTCCCATGTATGCCAGTGTGTGCTGGCATCCACATGAGCTTGATTTCTTTCTCTGACTTCTTGCCTGACTGCTGTAGAATTTGATGCCAGAATTTAAGTGTGTCGAAGGCTAAGATTTTACAGTTAACCTTGTAACAGGTTTAATATGAATTTTAGTTTGAAAGTAGCATAAATTATGCACCAGCCATCTAAACATAACATCTTGGTGTGAATGTCGGAGTCTAAGTAAACAGCGTAGTGTAGTGTATAATGTTGGATCATCAGCCCAGCAAAGCAGAGACATTCTGCAGTTTGTTTGATAGTTAGTTTGCTGCTTCAACCTTTTAAAAATTTTGAGGAATTTTCTGTTCTAAAACTGGAATAAATCAGTGACCCGCATGCAGTCATAGTTGGTTAGCTGTTATTACAGTACATATTCTTTAACTACTGTTAAATGAGCCCATGGCATTCTTTTCCTTGTTTTTTGAATTATTATTATATTACAATGGTGAATTATCATCTTAGACGTGACCTACAGCTCAAAAAATGAGGTGAATGCATGTACTAGTATTTATATGCAGAAACAACTTGGTTTATATAAGTCTTGTCTTCACAATATGAAATTGGCAAAAATTTAATTTTCCCCGAGACAAAGGGTGTAGGTTTGGTCTCAGCATTGCTGCTTATCACATTATTATTAAGTTGTATACTATTGGATTTAATTTTTAAAAAATCTGCTCAATATACAAAATCAGCTGTAATGCAACCGTCTCGTGACAACTACAGTAATATGTGACATAAATGCAAAAACGACATTTCCCACAATGCTATTGGATGTTTGACGTAAATTTTGAGATAAAAAAACATCCTGTCAGTGGTTGGTCGTTAATGACCCCCGAAGCGAGAGTAGATCGCTGGTGTGTTGGTTGCTCTGCGGAGTATTTCGTTACTCAAATAAAACGAAATTCACTAACATTTCCAAACTCAGACGACGCTGGTTTGTTCACGATGGCTGAAGGCGACAACAAAAGGACAAATACGTTAGTGAGTATTAACCACGTGTTATGCTGTAGAAATTCTTAAGGGTTCTATCGGTTGTGCGTGTTTAATATATCTAGTTAACTAGTAATGTTAGCATTAGCGTAAACTGCTGCTGGTAATCTGGCGGCGTTCATGTAGTCGTAGGTGGTCCGCTTTTGTAATTTGCTGGATTTGTTCAGTGAGCATGAATTTAACAACCCCAATAACCATAAGTAGATTTATGTCTAACGAGTTACAGTAACGCTTCATTCGTTTATCCATTAATCTGTCAAAGTACTACCACTCCGTTTTGACGGTGACCCTGGTTCGCTGGCTGTTTAGTTAGCCGTTAGCTGTTTAGCTTTAGTAGAGACGTTCCACTTGCTAGTCGGTGATAACGTTAACTATCATTGGTTGTGTCAAACCTATGTGTGATATCCAGTAAAGACATCTTCATTCGACATAATGTAACGCTGAGCTAGCCATCACTGATCAGTTCCTCTTTCTTGCATTGAGAAGTAGGTTATTGCACAGTCATGTCGTTGATGGAACATAACATTATCGTGGCCTTATTGTTTAAAGCATACGCCCACAGAAAGACTTG